TTATTATTATTATTATTATTATTATTTTAAACGAAACTATAGGTCGAGTTTAAGCTGTGACGTTATTAATCTTTATAAACGCTATTTGATAGTTAATGATCATGTTTTGGTGTATGATAAGGCTAGCCTATAGCGATAGTATTGGTATCATTACACAATACCATATTTGTTGGTTACGTGTGAAATTCTAGAACTATTACAAATATTCTCGGTAATCTATCAAAGGGAAATAAAAAAAACACAAGAAAAAAAACAAACAGACTGTTGTACACGAATACTTAATTAACAATGGTTTTGATGAATGGTCAATAACATAATGCAAGGCTCTGCAGCTCATGTTTTTTACTGCGTTCCATTATTAATTTAGAATCTATTATAAGTCATGAAAAAAGAATAAACGTATTCAAATTGCTCACGAGAATATGTGAATGATTGCCCAAATTTGAGTCAATGAGTGAACATCAAATTACTATTAGTATTAAGCCACAAACATAACATCCAAAATTGTTAAATCAGCCATCTAGTACTCAAACCAGCTAGGTAATTTCAATAATAATCTTGCATAATCAACCTTCAAAGACGCGTAACAAATTCCAAAATTAATAGTTGTTTTTATTTACCACGTGCATGTACGCCTTCTGTGACATTAGGTGATGATCTAATTTAGTTATGAATCAAAGCACCGATCGTCAATTCAACGAAATTTATTCATGCATGTACGATTTATACATTTTTAGTCATTATCTGTTCATTGTTGCTGCATAGAAGCATGAAATTTCGAATCCGATTAAATACGTATATAAGTCATTAATCCTAATACTAAGCAAAAGAAGGGCTTCTAATGTAGAGTAAACGATGGCCAACCCACAACTCGTCATCCAGGTCCAAAATTTCATTAACACCTTAAACAGAACGAATATATTCCCCGCACAATACGATATAATTTACTCTCATTGGTATTCTTCATATTTCGGCGGGGCTCAATATCGAAGACGTCGACAAGTTACATCCCATAATCTATGCCGTATAAGTGTAGTGCAAGAAGCACGTCGACTTGGTATCCAAAGCGACAATTATGATTTATTAATGAGATACACAACTCATAAACTATGGAAAACTGCAAATAAGGATGAAAAATTAAGCTACGTCAATTTAAAAAATCAACTGAATTCTTTTCGTTAAAAACTTGGTCGATGTCTATTTTTATTCCCTCCTCCCTACTCTACAATTATTTTTCATCCGTATATTATCTATAAGTAATGGAATATCATAGAAATATAAAAACATGAGAAAAGAAAAAAAAAATGAGAAAAGAAAAAAGATTTCAAAAAATTTTTTCCTTCGTTCATTTTATTTAATTAATTTTTTTTAAAAATTGTAGTTCCGCTTCGTTTTCGCTTTTTTTTCTAAAGTGATACATTTCGATAGATAAGTTTACTTATTTACTGTATTACCGTTTCGTTTAATTAATTAATTTTAAAGAATTGTAATTTTCATCATTTTTCTTTTTGGATAAACTAAGACAAGACGCGCTTATTAATTGTTTAGAACAGCGCGTAAAAATTAAATCGTTCATTCAATAAAATAAATAAATACTGCAAATTGCATTAAGTTAATAAAATAAATAAATACTGCAAATTGCATTAAGTTAATAAATTTACACATACTTATATACTGTCAGCAATGATTAATTCTAATAATAAATAAGTGGATATCGATATATATGTTCGCGCCGATTGAACTCATAGAGTGTGTTATATGTGCATGAATTATTGAAAAATGCTTAGATATAAAAGTAGAAGGTGTACTTTTCAATATTAATTTCTATTCTTGAGTTTGGAGAATTAAATTTGAATTAGACAATATTTGCGTAATCACGTGATACTCGATCCGTATATAAAATAAACCGTTTAATTATAACGATGAAGGCGAAGTATATAATCACGGAAATAGGATTGGTTCCCGAAAATAGTATATATCCCTTAGATCTTAAAGCACACAGCTAAGAAGAAATTTTCATTATGTTTTATTTATTTATTTATTTATTTTTTACATTTGAATGAAAGATATAGAAGGTATGGTAGAAAACTATATAACTAAAAAGTCTAAAATCTAGTTATCAAAAATTTAAGAATTTCGAAAACAAATGGATATGAAAGTAATAAATTCAAGATTGCTTGTGAATGTCAATATATACTAATCTGAAACATGGCTGGTATAAAAAACTTGGAGCATGAAATAGGTGACATTCTACAAACAATTAATTAAAAATAATTTTGATTAGTTAAACTTTCTGTTATAACTTTCGCGAAATACTATTATCTGGTTTTAATATAATTCGTTCAATCATTTTAGTAGTTATGCTAAGAAAATTTGCGAAATGTTGTATTTTAAATTTGTATCATTACTAATAACACGAAATGTTCGCGTTACAAACACTGAACGTGCATAAATAACCAATTACTTAAGCTATTATTCTATTTAGTTATTTAATTCAATGTTAATGTAATAATGTATTTTATAGATATTATATTTCGATTTTCTTTTAAACTTTATTTTACTTTTGCTGCTTTTATTCCAAATGGAAGGTTCTATCCTTCAGCAGTCCTTATTGATAGGAAAATCTGTTTTAGTGATGGATTCAATATTTTAAATATTACTACGAATGAATTCTTTTATTTAGATGTTTCTAAACCATTTATAACAACAGCAATACCATGGATTATACTGGCAGTCCTCAAAAATATTCTACTACAGCATGTATTGATAGAAAATATAATTATATGATTTTTATTTTTGGTGCCTACAATTTTAGTTAACCATTTGTTAATCGATTTAATATAAGTAAACAGCAATGGACAAATATCACAACTGCTCCCGCATATAGATTTCTTATTTCATGTGCTAAATTTAATAATGGATTGGTTGCTATTTTTGGTGGGCATAGTTCTAATACTTCTATCACTATTACTACTAATGATCTTTGGATATTTAATATATTAACATAAACATGGAGTTTGAGCAATTCAATAAATACAATATCTCGTTCTAGTTATTGTGCAATAACTTTGCCCGATGTCAATATTTTATATATTGGTGAACGTAACCCTGATAGTTTATCTGAGTTTAGGCCAATGAACAGTGTAAGTGCTATCTTTCAACAAAGTGTCTTTAATCTTAATTGATGTTTGTTATCGTTATATAATACAAAATCTGATACACGGGCAAACTTGGTATGTAACTAGTAGATACAATTGTTATTATATCGTTATGGTGGCGAATAATAAATCCAATATCTCATTAGAGTACATCTGACCAAACTCCTGACCAAACTCCTGACCAAACTCCTTACCAAACCTTGTTTTCAGCAGTATTAAGTACAGTATATATTAATAATATAAATAATTGTTTTAAGTAAAGATTTCCGCTATTAATCATTTAAAGTAAAAGCTCTTGACGGACGCGTCATAATTTTTGGCGGTAATCAAGCAGTGCCACTACGTATGGTTATTTATGGATTTTAGATATTGCAACGTATCAATGATCAATTTGAAAACATTACAAACACAATTGTGGGTCTAAATCTTTGTGGACATACTGCGATATAGTAGATAATTATGTTTATTGCTTTTGGTAAAATTTTATTTTTTTATGATTTTACTTTATTTAAAACTAAACTTTTTTAATTGTTCAACAGGTCAATTTTCAAATTTCAGTTTTTTCATCAAAAATATTTATGCCAAATATAAGCCAAAAAGATTCCTATAGATGGGTTACTGAATTCACTCCAAATACTACAACTACTGCAAATCCTACAACTTTTCCAATTTCAAGTAATTCAAGCAATACAGACTCTAAGAACCTTGGTTTAATTATTGGTGCCATCATTGTTCTTAGTAATATTCGTTATTGCCATCATTGGCGGTATCATATTCTTAGTAATATTCGTTATTGCCATTATTGATAATAAGTTCGTTCTATGAATCAGCTATTCATGCCAGCAGCATTACCTCTCTCGGTTATCAAATAATTATTCAAAGTTCGTGAGATAATAGTTTGAAATACAATCCCGATAGCACTTAATTGAAACAAGCCATGCTAAAGCTCACTTATTAGTCAGTGTTGACGAACAGAAATTTACATTTTAATCATTTTAATCATGTAAATTATGTAAATTATGTATATTATGGAGTAAAACTATTAAAAATATATTAATGAATAATACTCTTTAGTCTAAAATTAAGCTTCAACTTTAAAACTTAATTTTTAACTCTTATTAAATCGAGTATTACTAAATTCATTAAAATTTTGATCTTTAAAATTAAGAATTCAAATATTCAATTTTATGAATTTCTTTTAGTTCTGAACAACTTATATTTATATTATTAGGCAAATTATCAAGAATATTATTAGTACTAATTGAACTTTTTTCCCTGTAGTCGTGCTGATTTATTGGTACTCATTTACGGAGGGTACAAGTAACAGAAATTTTATGCACATGCAGAGAGTAAAGGTATGCATTTAGCACCAAATTCCAAGCTTGGGACCAAGCTGAAATGTCATTTAGGAAGGATGCGCTCGTAGGGTGGGATGCATTTAGCGAGGCTTTACTGTATAAACACTGATTTTAACATTACATTCTCATTTTTACTCCGAATCCGATTTAAACATCAGTTTTGCGCATGTTCACATGGGCTGACCTAGAACAATCATCAAATTCTACCGTTACATTCTACGATCGGTTAATTTCTAATGCTCGCTCAAATTAAAATTCTCATGTTTATGTCGCCACATCACGTTACCGCAAAAATGACCGGACTTTTGACATAGTTTATGTCGTACATGATGCAACTTGTATCCAAACTATTAAAATCAAACCGGTTTTGATCTTGACGTGTAAATCAACTAACCATAATAATGTGTATTCGTACATGTGAGTATTGTTCCGCATAAGTATAAATGCTACACTTTTTTACAAGGATAGCATCCATCCTTTAAAGATGTCTAAATACTTTATTGAATTTAAAAACAAGACCGGATTAAGTCAATATTTGACATTCTGTGTCTATCAACAGATGAATGAAGCCGATTATATAGACAGTGTGGCCTGGCTCGTTTCTACTATACCTAGTGGTTCAACATCTAATGTTTCTTGGAGACTTGGTGGATATATGGTCTATTTAGCCGAGTATCAATTAACTGGAGAAATTGGCATTTATCATAACAAGCAAGGTGCCGGAGCAGACATTGGATCAGCTTGGAATATTATTAATTATGATGTAAGTTTAATATTAGAAAAAAAAAACATGTGATAAAATAATTCATATCATCTGTGATAAAATGATTCATATTTTTTTGTGTTTAGGGCAAAGATTCAGAAACACAAACACTCATGCCATTATCAAATGGAGATATAGTTGAACCAGACGCAATAAAAATAACCAATAACTCAACTTCACCAGCGAATTGTGGAGTAGGAATGTGGGGTGTTGCAACAGCTTTTGAACGAAATTTACAACGCAATTCCACAGCAGTGTTTAGACTTAAGCCACAATATTGGGTTGGGGTTTATGATACAGGAATGCATAGAGGTCAAGTTATTGAAGACAATGCCCTAGCTTCAAAACCACTTTCATTTCCATCAGACAAAAATTTAGCGATTGTTACTGCTATAACCGAAAATGGAAAACTCTCTCTTACAATTGAATTTGGAGAGAGATCATCAAATTCATTTTTTAGATCTCTTCAGGATTTCTGTGCGAGACTATATGAAATTATTTTTAGAGTACCAATTTCTTTTATTAAAAATTGGTTAAAATCCGTTTTTGAATCTATTGGGTCAAATAAGAAAACGAACTAATCAATTGAAAAATTACATTTCAAATAAATAATTATAACAATTCCCTATTTCATAACTATTTTTTTTTTTATATTTTATTAGACACTTATTTATTCATCATTTTAAATTATCAGGACGTATGTTAAGATTTCTTGTGGAAATTAATATTATGGAGTATCGATAAAAACTTTTATTATTTGATTTGGTTTGATTTGAATAAAGTTGTCAATGACTTTTACCACTATTACTTAAATGCAATGACTAAAGAGTTGTCGTTTTTACCCGGGTATTAAAACAGTAATCTGATCTAGTTAATGGGTTACTCGAGTTACTCAAGTCAACACTATTATATAATTCAAGTGGATATTTAATAACATCTACTCAAAAAAAAATGATTTGAAGTAACTTTGTAATCCTTATTATAATGAGCAACAATTGTTAGAGACTCCTACATCTCACAGTGTTTGTGTTTAAGGATGCTAAGAGTCGGTTATGGTCGGTTATGGTCAGTTATCGGTCATTTATCTAATACTAACCGACCATCTGACTGACTGCTTGACCCAACGGTCAGTTAATCGACCATTATTTGAGCACAGTATTATTTAACAATTGTATATGGTGACTGAGGTCTTTCAAGAACCCTAATACTTTGAATTGAATAATATCCGGTGCATTTTGTGTTAATAGTAATACCCAGGTTGTCAAGAATTAGGCCTGCATGAAGTAATATGAGTGTAAGGTTTTTAATAAATATTAGAATCAATGAATTAAATTAGAGAAGAGGTATTAACATCCATTTTCGGTATTTTCACATCTTGAAAATGATAAATTGTGTGACCAAACAAATTATAACAAAGCGCCCAACGACAATGAAGGCGACATATTGTACCATGTGATCTAGATGCTCCATCTCAAAACTTGAGTAAAAGATTCAGGCACCTTATTTTCTCCATAACCATAAGATTATTATACACATAATAACAGATTAATGCGTAACTAGTGAAACTATTTTTGGCGAATGACGAAAGACGAGACTAAACCCGGCGAAAGACGAAACTCTGGCGAAACCCCTGGGGAAAGTCAAAACTCGGCGAAGATCAAATTATCTAAACCTATTTAAATAAATTTATTGTTAGATTGTGAAGATTTTTTTTTTAATATTTCATTGTTAAGAACTTTAATTAAATACTATACATAAGTAAATAGTTTGTTAATGTTGCATTTAAAGTAGCCATCTATATATAGTAGCCACTTTATATATTTAAAGTCGCTACTTTAAATATATAAAGTAGCTACTTTAGAGACCTATCTAAAGTAGCTACTTTATATATTTAAAGTGGCTACTTTATATATATCTAAAGTAGTTACTTTATATAGGTATTTAAAGTAGCTACTTTATATATTTAAAGTAGTTACTTTAGATATCTAAAGTAATCACTCTAGATATCTGAAGTAGTTACTTTAGATCTGAAGTAGCCACTTTAGATAACTATCTAAAGTAGCTATTTTATATATAAAGTAGCTACTTTATATATATATAAAGTAGCTACTTTAAATAGTGTAACCTCAAATATCTGGAGTAGCTACTTTAGATATTTAAAGTGACACTTTAAATATTTAAAGTAATTACTTTAAATATATAAAGTAACTAGCTACTTTAGAAAGGGTCGCTACTTTAGATGCAACATTAACACTATTATTACTGGCAATTATTTCCCGATGCTCTATTTTATCTAGCTCGAAATCTTAGGACTAGCTTTAAGGATATTATTAACTTATAATAAATCACATATAGTAAAATTTACATTGATCAAAAAGCATCATATACAGTATAATAAAATTACCAATTATTAAAAATTTTATTAAAAAAAAAGAAAAAAGAAATGAAATCTAATACTAAAAATAT